GGGGGTACGGCTAACCGGGGGCGACCGCCCCGGGGGTCATGCGCTTTGCAGGGCCGCTCGCGCTCCGACGTCACGGTGTCAGATGCAGCACTCGCCGCTTTAGGTTGAAGGCGCTGGATGGCCCTGCCAGCGGTAATTCACCAAGTTCCGGTACGCGTTGTTTGTTGTTTACACGCGTTGCACGGCAGCTTGGCGCAGTGCCGGATTAAGCTAGTGCGGGGCCTGTAGCATATGTTATGAAGGGGTCCTGAATTTAAAAAACGCCTAAATCTTTAAACACAAACTTTTTTCTTGCATACTACGACAAATCGCTAACCTTGAACACCCAGTCGTTCGTGAAAGTTGAAGGCAGTATAGTACTATGGTGTGGAATCACTGAATGGGAATGGATAGCTTGAAAGCATGTAGCGCGGCACCCTTGAAAGTGCGGGGTCCGTAGCATATATCGGTACTTTTGGTGCAAGGATAATTCGGCACTGCCGCCCGGTTCGGTTCGGTTATATTGCCGCCCGTCGGAGCATCATGTGCGGGTTTTGCTCGTTCGCGGGAGTGAGGGAGTGAGCCTTGCTGGAAAGCAGCAGGAGACTTTTTGGGTACGTTTGTGTTCACCGGGAGAATCTCTCTCGCTCTGCCGAGCCGATTCCAGTTTCCAAAATATTGCGGTGAAGCATCCGCTTGGCTTTGTCGCGGTGCGTGCGTGTGTGCTCGTGTGTGCCCTGCCGGCCTTCATAGGTGTTGCTCGCTAACAGCACTTGCCGCGATAAGCTGTTGAGGCTATACTGGGGAGCTTTGTCATTGGGGAGCGGTAGTGTTGTGGTTAGCGTCGTCCTGCTATGAACCCGGCGGCCCGAGCTCGAATCCGGCTTACGGCCACCAACAGCAGTGACGATGATCTGAACTGGTCTAGGGCCCTGCCCTAGGTCGACTCAGCCTCAAATGAGTAGCTGGTGCGGTGTGTAAACATTGCCACTGGAGAGATAAAGGCGGTCGGGCATGGTGGTGGCCACCCACCCCCTCGTGTGCCGTGCCGGCCTTCATAGGTGCTCGCTGTCAGCACTTGCCCCGACAGTCTGTTAAGGCTATACGGAGCAATCTTTTTCTGTGTGTCTGTGTACGTGTCCGTGTGTCTGTTTGTGTGTGTCTGTGTGTCTGTGTGTGTTTGTGCGTCTGTGTGCCCATGTGTCCGTGTCTCTGTGTGTGTCCGTGTGTTGGTGTGCATGTCTGTGTGAGTCAGTGTGTCCGTGTGTATGTGTCCGTATGTCTGTGTGGTGTGTCCGTGTTTCTGTGTGTCTGTATGTGTCCGTATGTCTGTGTGTGTCCATGCATCTGTGTGTTTCCGTGTGTCGGTGTGCCTGTGTGTGTGTGTCCGAATGTGTGTGTGTGTGTGCACGCGTTGTTTTTTTGTTGTTGCGCGTGACAGGGGCAGCGCATTACACTGCCGCTTGGTGGCCCGGTGATTGAGCGCAGCGCTTGCTCGAGGGACATTACCGGGGCGGCGGCGGCGGCGGCAAAGTGAAATGCGACCTCACGCTTCCGGCTACTGTCACCAAATCTGCCATTGTGACCCGACTACCCTGGGGGGCGGGGAGTGCGGGGGGGGGGGCACGTGGCTGAGCGTGTCGGTGATTGTGACGTTTTGTTGTTTGAAATACATTTCAGACTCGGGGGTGGGGGGGGGGGGGCAGTGTTTTGTTGGTGTGGGTCATTTGACCTTTTTCCCCTCCCCTCGTGTCCTGACCCCGCCCCGTGGTGGAGCTCCTCATCAAGACGGCGTCGGTGAAAAGTTGCCACTGTTAGCGAGCACCTATTATTGCTACTCACCCTTCCGATGACGTACTCGCGCCGTATCGGCCCCAACAGAGCCTCCACACAGGTGCTCGCCAACAGCACTCCCCCCCCCCCCAACACCTTGCGGAGAGAGGGGGGTCCTTTGTCTTTGAACGCGTGCGTGCGTGCGTGCCCGTCCTGCGTTCTGCGATAATTGCCGTCCAGATTAACGACCGCGGTGTGTGGGTGGCGGATGGTGGGGGGGGGGGGGTGCGGGAGCTGGGGGGCTGTGGGGACCGACTCTGGGCCGGCGTTTGTTGTCGGATGCGGAAACGAACGCGAGCGCAACGTTGCAGCGGTGCGCACCGCACGCTCCGATTCCCACCACGTTGCTCGCGCGCCGCCGTTTTCAAAGAATCCCGCCCCCCCCCCACGTGCCCCCACCTTAAAAACGTCTCACGATATCTTCTTGGTTCTTTCGGTAAAGTCACGTAGAATGGAAATAATAAAATAATTCTCACCACGTTTCGGGCCACAACGCAAGCAGCCGTTCTCAGGTGGAGAGCAGGTCTGTCGAGTAGACAGTCTGAATGGTTCTTCTCGACAGACCTGCTCTCCACCTGACGACGGCTGCTTGCGTTGTGGCCGAAACGTCGTGAGAATTATTTTATTACGTTTTATGTTTATTATTTTATTATTTCCATTCTACGTGACTTTTCCCGAAAGAACCAAGAAGATGAATCCTTGCAGTCACGAAAGCTTTAAATCGAAATCGTCTCATGATACGTAAATAAATAAATAGTTGATTTGGAATTGGATTGGGAGCCAGTGGTGGAGGTATTGGAGTAATGGGGGGGGGGGTGGTAACGTGGCCTCGTTTGCAGGGGGGTGGATGGGGGGCACGCGAGAGCCGTTTAATTGGCACGACGTGCATGGACGTGCTTGAGATTGGCGCATCGCAGCGTGAGCCTTCGCCGTCCTCAAAACCACCACCCCCCAGTTCCGTATGTCCCGCAGCATGTTGCCCGCCAGCCCACGTCTGTCTCTCCGCCCGGCACTCCTCATGCGGCGCTTTGATCTGAATTTTTCGCATCCCCGATGCCTCCTCCGCTCCATCGTGGGATTCCAAGATTAAAAGGCGTTTTTTTTCTCCCCGCGTTTCGCAGCGCGCGCGTGCGTGCGTGTGGCTCCCCTAGGTCGACTCGGCATCAAATGAGTACCTGGTTGCGGTATGTAAACATCACCGCTGGGGAGACAAAGGCGGCCGGGCGCGGTGTTGCCCATCCAACGTCTCTCGCGTGCCATGCCGGCTATCATTCGGTGCTCGCGATCAGCACTGGCCCCAACTATCTGTTGAATGCTATGTGGGGGGAATCTTTGTCTTTGTCTGTGTGCACGCGTTGTCGGCCGAGCGGGTAGCGCGTTTGCCGCCCGTTGCAAAGGTTCGCGGTTCTAGCCCAGCGGCCGCCCTGGTTAATCACGAAGTCAAAGTGATTTCACTCTCAAACGAGCGGAGAGAGGCAGTGCTCGTATCCTTTCCACAGCCCTGAGCCAGTTGTGGGAAAATCCACATTTATATGGTGATGATGGATTTGACCTCCTGACATCCCGCTGGGCCACGTGTGCACTTCAGCCAGGATGGATCTTTCCATCGCACGGCATGATGGGAGGTGTGGTGCTGGTGGCTTGGGGCAGCGGAGGGAGGGAGGGAGGGAGGGGGGGTGGAGGGAGAGGCCTTCATTCAGCGGCGGATAGACCAAAGCTAATGACGAGCGGAGTTGTCATTCAGCGTGGCGGCTGGCGTGTAATGGGCTTGCGTGCGTGCCTGTTTCGTCTTGGCCGCGCTCGATGTGATAAGTGGAGTGAGATGGTGAGGGCGGCGCACGTCCCCAATGTGTTACGTCGGTCGTCGGCGGCGGTGACGCACGTACACCCGCACGCGCAATGGTGAAGATCCCCCGTGTAGCCTTCCAACAGACTGTTGGGGCAAGTGCTGTAGCAGCACCTGTGAGGCTGGCACGGCACACGAGGAGGCGGTGGGTGCGGACAGGACCGTGCCCGATCGCCTTTGTCTCCCGAGCGGCAATGTTCGCACACCGCACCGGGTACTCGTTTGAGGCCGAGTCGACCAATGGAACGAAGGCGTGCCGTGCCGTGCCATGCTGTGATTTCATAGATGCACGTTAACAGCACTTGCCCCAACAGCATGTTGAGGGCTATACGGCGGGGGGGGGAATCTTTGTCTTTGTGTGCATCGTGTCCTGCCGAGTTTCCGCACCAATCGGCAATGGGTCGCTCCTCGTTATTCTGAGGTCACCCGGATCTTTAATGTTCGCTGTGAAGCGGACGGCGCGTGGTATTATACTACATGTGGTTTTATACTACAGTTAGTTTAATACGACATGTAGTAAAATACTATGGTTAGTACGGGACCATAGTACTCGTGATTTTCTGGCTTTCGAGACATCAGACTCGGTGAAGCCAATGGCATATGGGGTCCCGCGGTGGCGAGATGTTAACTACCTCGCCTGGTGTACAGGAGGTCCTGGGTTCGATCTCGATCCTGACGCCTGCATATTTAAAGTCTGCCTATTCTCCCCGTGGTCGCGAGGATTTTTCCTCCGGGTCTTCCACATTTAGAATCAACGTGCGTTTTAGAGTATTTGGCTGCTATAGATTTCCAAGTGATGAGCCGCCAGGTTGGTTCTGCAACAAAAAAATCGACGTAGCTAAGGGGGCCTTTACCTGCTGAAATTAAAAATTAAAATCAATAGTTTAATATTTTTTTACACGGACTAGGTGGTGTGTCTTCGATCGCGAGGCTCATCAATCTCTCTCTGCCTTCTTGGTTCTTTTGGTAAAGTCACGTAGAAGGGAAGTAATAAAATAATAAAAATACAACATAATAAAATAATTCTCATGACGTTTCGGCCACAATGCAAGCAGCCGTCCTCAGGTGAAGAATGAAACACCACCAAGCTTGGAGCGTATATTTAAGCTGGGTTGGAGGGGGGGGAGGTGGGAAGAAGAGCGCCTTGACAAAGTTATGTTTTTATTTTTATTTTATTATGTTATGTTTTATTATGTTATGTTTTATTATGTTATGTTTTATTTTTATTATTTTATTACTTCCCTTCTACGTGACTTTACCGAAAGAACCAAGAAGATGAATCCCTGCAGTCACAAAAGTTTTAAATCGAAATCTCTCTCTGCCCGCTTTGTTGTTGTTTCAGGAGTCGTCCCCTCTGTTGGACACCGAGGCACAGATCCTGCAAGTGGTGAGTTCCAGTTCCTCCTCTTTCCGCTCTCGCTCCGTCTCTCCCGGCGCCGGCTGGAGTCTGGCACGTGAGCGCGACGACGCGACGTGCAGCGGCGGTGCGGTGGAGCGGCACGCCCGAATCGTGCAGTCCGGAGGTTCACCGGCTCCATTCCATCTTCCCGGCCTGCGGCAGATGAAACAATGGGGCTGCTTTCTTAACCCCTCCCTCCCTCCCTCGTTTATCCTCCCCCACCCACCCCACCCACCACCACCACCACCACTGCCACCACCGCCACCACCTATCTGTGTAATCGTGTACACCACCGTGAGCCAATGGATAGGCCGTGGGTGGCGGGGTGAAGTGTGGGGTAGTCCCACGTCTTCCAACACGTCTGGGGTATCGGCACATATTCCGAGATGCCTTGCGACCGTGGAAGAGGAGGCCAAATGCCTCCCTGGAGGGGCTTTGCAGAGCTCCCTCGAGTGGAGGCGCTTCTGCCAGAAGTGGAGAGAGCAGGGAATTTCACGGCTGTACCTTTATTTTATTTTTTCCTTTTTATAACATCGCTCGTCTAAGCCGTCTCATATCTACTCGGGGCAATTGATTGACCACACCCGGTCCAGAATTTGTGTATTTGAGTTGGCCTATCATTTGTGGCCAGGTCGCTTCTGAAAGATAGCTATGTAGCTCAGTGGGCCTTAACTGTTAAAATAAAAAAGTATGGAATTTAGCTGCCATTACATATCAGAGTTTACTTGTCAACGTGATTTCCTGCAGCTCAGCATGACCTTAGAGGTATCGGTGCTCATCTCATGTTTAGAGCCATGCAAAGCCCATGGGTGGAAATTCCACGTTCCTTTGGCAGGAAGTGAGTTCTCTCCGTAGGACAGTCGTTGTTGAATTCCCCCAATGAGCGGTACTCGTTTTATTGGCCGTGGAGCGATGATGGGTTGAATGTGAACTAAAAACTAAACTACACTATTTTTATTTTACCAGGTAAGGCCCACTGAGCTATTATGTAGCTCAACAAAGTGGCTTGTCACGTGGACATTTATAACAGCAGCCAAAGACTCTAAGCACACACGTTGATTCTAAATGTGCAGGGAAAAACCGGAGGACCCGGAGAAAAATCCACGTGACCACGGGGAGAGAGACATGCAAACTCCGAATATACAGCAGGCGTCAGGGTTGGGATCGAACCCACAACCTCCTGCGTACCAGGCGAGGTAGTTAACATCTCGTCGATGTGAACTGGCGACGCTCTGATTGCGAGACACCCTCTCTGGACGACCACTTCTCACGTAACAATCGCGCCGTGCTAATGAGAGTAGCGCATCCCCCTCCCCCTGCCCCCCATCCGCCCCCATCACCCCCTCCGCCCAATCACCCCCTCTCATCCAGCAATTGTTCACGCGCTAACGCACGCGCGGCGCCAACGCACGCGCGCGGCGCCAATTACGGGCGCCCGCTCGTGCGTGCCCGCGCTTAGTTAAAGGCGAAGGCGCAGCCCTGCAATTGCCTCCCTCTCGCCACTGCTGGCAGAAGGGCCTCCGCTAGGGCCAGTAGGTCGTGCGGTCGGTGTTGCCCACACTTTGCCCCCACTGCACGTGACCCGTCGATCGACACACGGTGCCGCGTCCATCTACATCGTTGGGTGGACAGTGGTTCGGTAGGTGGGGGTGGCGGGGGTGCGTTCGGGCACGCGGAGGGGGTTGGAAGTGGGGGGGGATTCAAGAAACTTGCCCCCATTGCTTCAACTACCTGCAGCGCCGGGAGAGGGAGTCGATCCGGCGACCTGTGGACTGCCTAGCACCCGGCGGGACTGCTCGCCGTGCCACCGGTGTTAAATACGCCGCGGCGCTTTTGGTTTATGCCGCTGAAGATTTCTGCTTCGCGCCGACGCGGCGTTTAATTATTTTCGCGGCAATCGCCGCGGGCTCGGCCCGGCGGCCGCTCGTTCCGTCACGCGGCGCGATATTTACTGCGTCGTGCCATGTTTATACCGCGCGGGATCTTTTCCCGCCGCCGCCGCCCCCACCCCTCCACCCCCCACCACGTGCGCCGTCTGTCTCGTCTCGTGATTTAACCGCTGCGGCTCCCGCCCAACGCCGCCGCTCCCTTCCTCCAACAAACGAAGGCGCCCTCCGTCTCCGGCTCTACGGGGATTAAAACCTCGGAGCGTTCATCGATCGTGCGCACTCAGACGGGGGACAACAAAACTACGGGCGACGAAAGTTTCTACCCCTGGGGTGGGGGAGGGGGGGGGCCGGGGCCTAAAACGGACTTAGCGCTCGTGACGTCGTCGCGGCTCTGAGCTGGCCAACGGCCCCTCGATGGCCCCGCGATGGCCCCTTGGCGAGTGGCCCCGGCGAAGGAGATTGCGCGGCGCCGACGAAAGATCGTGACCGGGAGATGGCACCGAGAGGCAGGGAGAGGGACACGTGATTTTGAGAACATCGAGAGAGACACGTCGCGCTGACCCGCCGGGAAAAGCCGGCGCACGGTCTGGCCGGTGGGGAACGCGTCCCGGCTCCCGAGGCGACGAAGGAGAGCGACAGCAGCCAAGGGAGACGTCGGTATTCCGATCCCAAAAATCTATCGTGGCTGGTAACCGTTAGCTGCAAAAAGCGTGCGTGTTAAGTCTCGGCAATTTGCAAGCGTGCGTAACGAACGGTTCGTTTACAATTTGCGCCAAAGGGGTGCGCTCGCATCTTGCATTCGCTCCGTCCGTTGCTCATCACCGTACGACAAGCGCGCGGCACCCCCATCGTGATGAGGGACGTTGTTAACGCGATGAACCGGAGCCCCACGCGGGCAGAGCCGGCGATAATTTAGTCGGCTCGTTAAATCCGGCGTCCTCGCATCTGGTGGAGTGAGCTGCAACACGCCCGTACCCCCGCCACACACGCGCTGCGGCCTCGTTTCATGTAAGCTTGCGTCACACTGAAACCGGAGGGCGGCCCCGGGTTAGGGTCAGATAGGTCGAGGGGCACGCTGAGCCACGGTTCACCGCTGAGAGACACCCGGGTTCGAATCCAGTTCTTCGAAAAACGGCTTCACGAGTGGCGAATTGATGGTCGCTGCCCGGTCACTATTTGACATTTTTAAGCAACTGCAGCCCAAAAGTTGAGTCTCGTTGACAACAACCCATGCAGTGTTAGTTGTTGCGGTCCGTGAGCTTGATGTAGCAATTTTCGTAGTCCAGGCTTCAGCAACCTGCGACTCTGGAGCTCTCTAAGGCTGAAGTGCAGCTCTTGAAATTCGAAAAAAATGGCTGCTCTTGTTATTTGGGTTGCTTACCCCTGAGCATGGAAGTCCAGTTCACCGTGGAAGTACAGTTCACCATGGAAGTCCAGTTCACCAGTGTGAGTCCAGTTCACCGTGTGAGTCAAGTTCACCGTGAAAGTCCAGTTCACCATGGAATTCCAGTTAACCGTGGAAGTCCAGTTTACCGTGGAAGTCCAGTTTACCGTGGAAGTCCAGTTCACCATGGAAGTCCAGTTCACCGTGGAAGTCTAGTTCACCATGGAAGTTGAGTTCACCCTAGAAGTCCAGTTTACCGTGGGAAAGGGGCGGCAACCCCGTGGCTCCAGAGCCACGTGTGGCTCAGTAAAGACCGCTGCTTCGCGACGTTGTTTATGATTGCATTGCGGCTTTTGAAATATTGAGTGATTTTTTTTTTACGAAATTTGCTAAATAATTTCTCCCCTTGTTGTTTTAGTTGCCGAGCCCCCTGTCCTAGTCGAGCAGGCTGTGGCAGTGAAGCAGTTAGTTGTGTGTTTTGGCCGTGGGTGCACAAATAACAGTCGAGCAGTGCGTCACTAACATGGTTGACTTGAAAGGAAAAATACGATATAAGAGGGTGGTGTTCTCCACCAACGGCACTATCCACATATTTGCTCTTCGTCAAAACCAATTTTCAATTGCAGGATCGCAAAAAAAAACGTGGCGGTGGGGGGAGTGGAGTTGGAATGAAAATGTGAAGGAGAAAAAGTTGATGGGTATCATGTCATCGGCAAATTTAATGCGCAAAAAAATGTACGCTGAATTCGTAATGTTCTCTCTTCGTTGGGGTCGGCCCACGCAACGATCTGGTCAGATTTATGTCGTGTAAGAATCCCTGCACCACCCGACACGGCCAAACTAATTAAATTGTCATGCGCCCAAGCGTTTAGCGAGGCAGTCATTATTACTTGTTTCCGCCCCCTCGACGCCAACTGTGTGTGTGCGGACGCTCTCTCCCCCCCCCCCCCCCCCCCCCCCGGAGCAGTGCAAGACGCTGCTCGTCACCTGCGAGCACATGGGCACCGTGACCTCTGACCCCCTCATGTCCCAGTCGGCCCACCTGGAGGTCGTGCACCTGACGCACATCAACCCCTGCGAGGGCCTGGTGAGTAGCGCGAACACGCACAAATAACAAACCCCAGCGTGTAGCCTTAACAGACTGTTGAGGCAAGTGCTGTTAGCGAGCACCTATGAAGGCTGGCACGGTGCACGATGCAGTGGGTGGCCAGCACCACACCCAGCTGCATTTGTCTCCCTGGTGGTGATGTTTGCACATCCCACCAGGTACTCATTTGAGACGGAGTCGACCTTGGGAAGTCCCATGACCGATTCAGATAATCGTCACTGGTGGTGACCGTGAACGGAAATCGAACTCTCTTCACTACCGCTCCCCACGCACGCACACACACACACATGTATACACATCTGGCTGCACCTTGCTGATGCTACTCAGACATGTCGATTTTTACAAACTATTATTGCGATTTTTTTTTTGTTTGCTTAACCCGGAAAGCCACACCGAGTCTCAAGACTCTTTTTTTCAGGAAGGTCCTCCCAAGTTTTTTGCAGTAGGGGTGGTGTTTCAGCTGCTGCTGCTGCTCCTGCTATGTGTGATCCAAATTGAGTGATTTGCAGAGTAATTTTTCAACTCCTGGGATGTTTTGGCCTATATCCGGTTACATTCTGTGGAGACCAGAGAACACGGAAGAAAACCCATGCAGAGCAGGGGGAGAACATACAAACTCCACTCAGAAGGGCACCCGAGTCAGGAATCGAACCCAGGCCCTTGTTGCCACGAGGGGTGAACTTTACCGCTGCACCGCCACCGTACCGCCCATGCACCCGGTCGCCTGGCCACCCGAGTTCGATTCTGAGGCCACGTCTCTCATCAGTGGCCAGTGATATCTGAACGGGGTCCTGACTCCCCAACTTTAACAATAACGTGTGCCGAGCAGCGTGGTGAAGTATGGTGAAATAACCCACGTGACTGCCACGGCGCCGCAGTGGCGAGATGCCAACTACCTCGCCTGATATACAGGAGGTCATGGGTTCGATCCCGACCCCTGATGGCTGCTGTACATTTGGAGTTTGCGTGTCTCTCTCTCAGTGGTTTGCACAGATTTTTACCCAGGTCATCAGGGTTTTCCCCTCTATATTTATAAATAACATGCATTCAAAGTATTTGGCTGCTATAAATGTCCAAATGATGATGAGCTACTTCCTTGAGCAATCATTTGTGGCCAGGTCGCTTCTGAATAAGAGCTATATACTGTAGCTCAGTGAGCCTTACCTGGTAAAATAAAAAAAAAAGTTTTTTTGATAGTTTATGGGGAAGCCTTCATCCAGCAGTGGATTGACAAAAAGCATAATTTTGTCATTGCTATTACGTACGCACAAACTGTATCCATCTATCTTTGCGTTAGTACACACACGTAAACACACACGTACATTCTGCAAAGTGCTATGTACACACATGCATTATGCAATCTGTACAATCAAACACACATACATTATAGATGGTACATACACACACATACATGCATAGGGCTTTGATACACACCTACATTATTTATAGAATAATCTTGTGTATTTGTTTTTGTCATATCTTAAATTTGCTTTTGGTACCCAGTTCCCCCTTGAATAAGAGACGTGGCCCTACCTGGTTAAAAATAGATTATTTTCGACCTACAGTACCCATAAAAACAAAGATGTCCCGTGTAGCCATTTAGAGTGTTGGGGAAAGTGCTGTTAGTGAGCATCTATTTAGGCCATCACAAAGCACAGGGGGGATGATGTGGCCAGCACCACTCCCAGGTACCTTTGTCTTCCGAGTGCTGATGTTTACAAACCACCCCAGGTACTAATCTGCGGCTGAGTTGACCTAGGCGAGGTCAAGGACTGGTTCAGATAATCGTCACTGGGTGTTGGCCATGAGCGGGAATCGAACCCGTGTCGCCAGGTTCAGAGAGTGGAGCACGCTAACCACTACTGCTCCCTATACGCAGACACACAGACGTTGGGAGGCACATAGACAAAGACCCACGCTTGGAGTTAGACACCGACTCGCAGACACCGAGACACACGCGTAGAGATGGACACAGACACAAAGAGAGACGGACATCGATCGGCGCAGACACAGAGACGCACAGAGAGACATAGAGACGTACGGAGATAGCCACAGGGAGACAAGAGAAGATGGGCACGGAGACGCACATGGGATCGGCGGACAGCGATGGAGCGGCCCCTCTCTCTCGCACTAAGTGACGGGCACCCTCGCACTGACCGTTGATTGGTGGACAGCGACGGAGCGACCCCTCTCTCTCGCGCTGAGTGACGGGCACCCTCGCACTGACCGTTGATTGGTGGACAGCGACGGAGCGACCCCTCTCTCTCGCGCTGAGTGACGGGCACCCTCGCACTGACCGTTGATTGGTGGACAGCGACGGAGCGACCCCTCTCTCTCGCGCTGAGTGACGGGCACCCTCGCACTGACCGTTGATTGGTGGACAGCGACGGAGCGACCCCTCTCTCTCGCGCTGAGTGACGGGCACCCTCGCACTGACCGTTGATTGGCGGACAGCGATGGAGCGGCCGCTCTCTCTTTCTCACTTGCGCTGAGTGACGGGCCGGCCTTGGAGCGCGGCTGACGAAGGCTCCTCGTAAATCATGATGAGCCCTAACTCACCCGCTGCCTCGACAGCCTCAGTTATCCCTGAGCTACGGCCTCCTGGGGTCATCAGCGTCACTCTGCCAGCAGCGGTAGTGGTGTTGCTGACGGTGGTGGTGGTGGTGGTGTTGATGGTGGTGTTGGTGGTGGTATCGCTGACAGTGGTGGTGTTCATGGGGTGGTGTTGATGGGGTGGTGGTGCTGGAATGGGGAGCGGTAGCGGTTAGTGCACTGCGTTGCAAACACGGCAACCCGAGTTCGATTCCTGCTCGTGGTCGACAACATTGACCATTATATGAACCGGTCCTGGGCCTCCCCTAGGTCGACTCAGCCTCAAATGAGTAATTGGTGCAGTATGTACATGTCGCCACTAGGAAGAGAAAGGCGGCCGGGCGTGGTGCCGGCCTTCATAGGTGCTCGCCAACAGCACTTGCTCTTACAGTCTGTTGAAGGCTGCACGGGAGATCTTTGTCTTTGTATCTAGGGGTTGCTGGTGGCGGTATACATTCATAATACATGTATTTATTGCTTTGTGTTGTTCGTCTGTGATGTACTCATTGAGTCTTGTTCCATGAGATCAAACAATTTTCTCTAAAGCCTCCTGCTGCTGCTGTCTCTTTCACGCTGGTCAACTACTGATGATCAGGGGTGGGAATTGAACATAGGTCGGCGGGTGTAGACACAGTGAAATTTGTCCACGTTGTTCCTGCTGTAGCTCATATCTCACGGCGCGTACAAGCAGAATCCGAATATTTTGTTTAGACGGGAAGAATTCAACGAGTCTACGAAGCTCTTGTTTCACGGACGTCCAAACCCCGCCATGGGAACGTGGAATTTCCAGCGGCAGCAGCGGTGACCTTGACTCAACTGCTGTGACAACGCGAACGACCGATAAACGTCACCCTAAATCGAGACGCTCGGGGTGGTGTGGAGGGGGGGGAGGGAAATTGGAGCCCCCCACCCTCCCACCTCCTCCCATGCCCCAACGCCACGATCAATAGGATCGTGCCACGGGGGGGTGGTGGGGTGGGGGGGGGGCGTGGGGGGGGGGTGTCAGTGGCGTGTGGTCGCGAGGGTTCGACTGCGAGGGAATTGGCGCGGCGATTAGAGCGCGGCGGGGAGATAGAGAGGGGAAGAGTAAGAAAGGGAAATGAAACCGGGCAATTGTGGGGAAATTGATAGAGTGTCGCCTCTTCTCCTCCCGCTTGATAAAAACGGTGTTTCTTTTGTTAAGCCTCCACGGGGCTTTTCTCCGCTGGCGTAAAAGATTAGCCTGCCACAGCTGCCGCTGCCGCGTCCTTTCGCCAGACAACGTTTTGGTGACCCGCCGGGGTCTTGGTCGTCGCTCCCTTCTTCCGATAAGGGTTCCACGTGCGCGCCGGTTAAACGCTCGTGCATCGCGGGCAAGAATAATGGGGGGCCTGGGTTCGATTGCCAACCCGGGAGCCCCCCTTCTGTGTGGAGTTTGGAAGTTTTCCCTCTCGTTCTGCGTGGGTTTTCCTCGTTGTTCCCTCCTCGGAGTCAGAATCTTTATTGATACTGGAAGAGGAAACCGATGAGCTATGAAGCTCTTTTGCACAGATGTCCACGATGGGAGCAGGTGGGTCAGAAAGTTACAACGACAAACAAATAAACAACATGGTAGGAGTGCAAAGTATGGGGAAAAATCACACGCACAAAAAAACACTATTTAAAATTTTACCAGGTAAAACCCACTGAGCTATTGGTTTCTTTTTTCAGAGCGAGTGAGTGGAGGTTGCTTGCAGCTGACAGATCTCTTACGCAGGGTCACAGCCACGCTGTGGATGTTGGTGATGGGAGGAGGCAGGGAGGGGGCTTTGTTGATGCGAATGGCTGCCCCGTGGTGACTGGTTGAGATTACAGATGGGATCCATGACTCAGTGCTGAGCCTGCTGATCCCATCTGTGTATTTATAATAATTATTATTATTATCTGTGTATTCAGAGGTTCCGTCATCGGCATACATAATCAGCACTCGTGTCACCTTTGTTAAAGGCAATAGAGGAATGTGACCATCAAACCCTGCAATATTTATTTAGCCACTCTGCAGCAATGCTGCGAGGGTAATGCGTTTGCGCGCGATGACTTTGTGTGCCGTATTGCTTCTCCCGTTGCACCGGGGCACCGTGGATTTGATCGATGACGCCTTGGTGAATACGGCAGCATTTTGTCTCGTGAGCTGCTTCGTTCTGCTGATGGGACCCAGACGGGCGAAACAGGTCCACATTTTGCTTGCTTAAACAATCAGCACTTTGTAATATTTTTGCTTGGATAGCCGATAGTCTGACAGACTAAAAACATACTTTCATATTTACGTGGAACCACGGTGGAGTTATGCTTATATCAGCAACACAAACCAAGATTAGATTTTCTTTTTTGTTCAAAACAATGTGGGTGTCTCTTTGCCAAATATCTAA